TTCTAGACATATAAAAAACATTCGACAGTGTTTGGCATGAAGGTTTGATTGCTAAATGGCAAAAGTTTAATTTTCCACTTTATATTGTGAAATAGTTCAAAATTATTTAACTGACAGAACTCTGCAGGTAAATTATCAAAATTCCAAATCTAAACGACTACCTGTTAGAGCAGGAGTTCCTCAGGGTAGCATTCTTGGGCCTATATTGTATAACATTTTCACTTCGGACCTCCCTGATTTGCCTCAGGGTTGCCACACATCTTTGTTCGCTGATGACACAGGCATTTCCGCTAAAGGAAGAAGTCTTCGTGTTATTTGCAGCAGACTGCAGAAAAGTTTAGATATTTTCTCTTCTTATCTACAAAAATGGAAGATTTCAAAACTCAACTTATAATATTTCCACACAAGCCTAGAGCTTCGTTTTTGAAACCTAGTAGTTGTCACATAGTCACTATGAACGGAGTTCCAATTCCCTTGTCAAACCAAGTGAAATATCTTGGATTAATACTTGACCAAAAATTAACTTTTAAAGATCACATTAAGGGCATTCAAGCCAAATGTAACAAATATATAAAATGTTTGTATCCTTTTATAAACAGGAAATCCAAACTTTGCCTGACGAATAAACTTCTAATATTTAAACAAGTTTTTAGACCTGCCATGCTTTACGCTGTGCCAATATGGTCTTGTTGTTGAAGTACCAGGAAAAAAGCACTTCAAAGGATTCAGAACAAAGTTCTGAAAATGATTTTGAAGTTGCCTCCCTGGTACAGTACTACCGAAGTACATAGAATTTCGAATGCTGAGACTTTAGAACAAATGTCCAACAAAATAATTAATAATTTCATCCAAAAATCGTTCCAATCCTCAATTGCAACGATTAATTCCCTATTTACTCAGATAAGATTTAGTTTTAGTTTTTAGTTTTAAGATATCATTTGTTATACTGACATGCAGGTTTAAAAAACCTGTTTAAAATACTGAATTGCCAAGACAGGAAAAATGTAAAAAACACGTAGCTATATATATCATAATAATTAAGGCTGGTAAGTTACTGTAGTAACTAGAGCACCTAGGTGGTTTTGCTCCTTCTTTTTTGACAACATTAGAAGGAGAAAATGAGACAAACTAGTCAAAAGCAGGTAAAAGTGAACTGGCCGTTTGGTTCTTTTTGCTTACCGTGTAGGTCCCAAATGTGTCACCACCGCGCTCAGCATTTTGACGTTAGTGGTATAAATAAAAAATAAAAGACTGGACGCTTAACGGTGTCCCATGCCACACTGCAAATCAATCAATTAAGTTGTTGTTACGAAAATTCGCTGGACGCATGGTATCAAAAAAAGACGATATTGATTGGCTTCCCAGATCTCCAGGGGGGTTATTTGAAAAGTAAAGTTTACGCCAGCAAGTCTCGGACCGCTGATGAACTCAAGGCAAATATTCTTGCCGATATCATTGCTATATCGCCATAGGTAATTGTTTTTTTTTTCAAACGTTATTCAATGTTTACATACCAACATAAAATATGGTGTACCCTGTATATCTTTATTCGTCCATACGGTCTTCACTAACATCTTGCGATGATGAATCCGTCATAATTGTAAGCAAATCTTTTATCCATCGGTTGGGTGTATCCAGCTTCTTATTAAAATAAACAATTAACCTGGTTTGTTCTTCTTATTTACTTAATGATTAACACAGCAAAATTTTTACACTTAAGAATCAAATGGAAAACTAATCCTGGTTTCAATTAACTAAATTAATTTGATTACTGATTTTGCATTATTAAAATTTAACTGAATAAGGGTATGGCGTTAATGGTTAGCATCCATGTTTCTCACGTGACTTGAGTTCAAATCTCAGCCCAGGCATGTCACAAAAAATCCCGCACCTAAAATGTGTTAAACAAAACAAATAAACAATAATCGTTAGTTCAACGATAACAGTAAAACTTAAAGTTAGGTTGTATTCATTAAAATACACTCTTGTCTGCATTATGGAATCAGACATATGTCACGACAATTTAAATCAAAATGAGTTTTCATTATGATTGGAACTGCAAACTTCAATAACGATTTGCTTTCATTTTGTTACCCACCTTTGCACGGGTACAACACTGTTAATATTAACTCATAAATAACGAGTTTTATGGTAAACGTGTAAAATGAGCTACTTTCCGAGGTCTACACTCTCCTATGCAAGCTCCAATCGATTCGTTGGACTTTTTCACGTGACAAATGGTGTGTTATATGTCAGAAGTATAACGGCAGTTTTCAAAACTGTTGATAACAACCCATAAATAACGAGCTGTGGGGAAAATGGGGCCAAATGGGCTTCTATTAAGTATGTACAGTATGAAATAGAGCCAAATAAATACTATTTCAATATCACTGCTATACATAGAAACATGCAAACATTCATGCATGTAAACTTCTTTTTCACGTAGACCAGCAACTTGTATGAAATGTTGCGTACGAAGATTTGCGGTTGCATGCAATTTATTAAATATCTCATTAGATGTCTTATAAATTTACGCTATCTATAACGTAAACTGGAATGATATATGACGCTCCATTTATGCGCATCATAGTAACTCCATTTATGTGCATCATAATGGTAAATTTACACTACTTTTTCGAACTGTGTAGTTTCGAATGAATTGTTGGTAGTAACTTGCCAGCCCTAGCACTCTCCGAACGTCCATGTCTTTTTTCGGTCTAGCATAGTCCACTTTCGATGCTAGTGTTTATACTTCGACGGTTTATGGTTGACACTAATCACATGCAAAAAATCAACGTAATTTGTTGAAGGGCAGCCGGTGGGTGGATGGTACCATCTACCGCATAAACGGAGGAGTTTCTATATAGTATTATGATAAATATCTCTGTTTTTAACCTTTCATTGTCCTTGATAGTTTTAGAAGGTATAAAGGGTGATACGGTCAAAATTTGGTCAATATCAACTTGACGTATTTCTTTCAATTTTGCATTTAAAAAACCTGAACACCCCTCATTTTGAAGGTGTGTGTGTGTAGAATGTTGCTCCTATTTTGATTTTGGAATTCACTCTTCAGTTGTCAAAATGCCGTCCAAGCAAGAAGAGCAGCGTATCAAAATTTTGCTCGCGCATCGCGAAAATCCGAGCTACTCGCACGCAAAGTTGGCAAAATCGCTAAAAGTTGCCAAATCAACCGTTACAAATGTAATTAAAGTGTTTGGGGAACGTTTGTCGACAGCCAGGAAGTCTGGATCGGGGGGAAATCGAAAACCGGAAGCCGCTGAGACGACAAAGAGAGTTGCCGGTAGTTTCAAGCGAAACCCTAACCTCTCTCTCCGAGATGCCGCAAATAAGCTGGGTGTATCGTCTACAACCGTGCATCGAGCCAAAAAACGAGCCGGACTATCGACTTACAAGAAGGTAGTGACTCCAAATCGCGATGATAAACAAAATACGACGGCCAAAGCGCGATCCCGGAGGCTGTACACGACGATGCTGACGAAGTTTGACTGCGTGGTAATGGACGACGAAACCTACGTCAAAGCCGACTACAAGCAGCTTCCGGGACAGGAGTTTTATACGGCAAAAGGAAGGGGAAAGGTAGCAGATGTTTTCAAGCACATGAAACTGTCAAAGTTCGCAAAGAAATATCTGGTTTGGCAAGCCATCTGTACCTGTGGCTTGAAAAGCAGCATTTTCATAGCTTCCGGGACTGTCAACCAAGAAATTTACGTGAAAGAGTGTTTGAATAAACGTCTGCTGCCTTTCCTGAAGAAACACGGTTGTTCCGTACTGTTTTGGCCGGATTTGGCATCTTGCCATTACGGTAAAAAGGCCATGGAGTGGTACGCCGCCAACAACGTGCAGGTGGTTCCCAAGGACAAGAACCCTCCCAACACGCCAGAGCTCCGCCCAATTGAGAAATACTGGGCTATTGTCAAGCGGCACCTCAAGAAGACCAAAAAAACTGCTAAGGGCGAGCAGCAATTCAAGGCAAACTGGCTTTCTGCGGCGAAGAAGGTGGACAAGGTGGCTGTACAAAATCTGATGACAGGGGTCAAGCGTAAGGCCCGGCAATTCGGATTTGGAAAAGCGGAAGCCTAACTGAATATTTTTCCTGAATTTTATACTAATTGAACTTGAAAAAGAAATTTAATTTGATTTTTTAAATAAACGATTTCACCGATTTACACGCGTTTTCCCTTGACCAAATTTTGACCGTATCACCCTTTATGTAGGTACAAGACATTTTTTTCCTTTATCCATGACATTGTAGAATAGTTTTCGATGATTATTCTATGATCGGAATGTCAAAACCATGCCTCTTATCTTATAGCAAATTAGTTTTATTATTCAGTTCCATCCTGAATCGGGTATGGATCTGCTTTTTTTTTTTTTTTTTTTTTCCTTTGGTTTATTTTTTCCGTCGATCTTGTTTTCCGCGCTGAGCACCAATGCTACCGACGTGCCAGGAAGGCAGCTCTCCCACACCTGGACCCTACCTATCGACCCATCAACTCATGAACCGGGGACCAACGGCTTTACTTCCCATCCGAAGGAAGGCGTGATCAGAGATGTTATGCCTCAGAACATCCCGGCGGCACCGACTGGGATTGAACCCAGGCCTGCTGGGGTGAGAGGTAATCACGCTTACCACTACACCACCGGTGCCGTTATGGATCTGCTTGATTTCTGACAAACGTCAGATTGATTGTTTTTTAACTCGAACTTTCGAACTGGGTTGGAACGATAATAAACGAATACGCTATTAGGTTTGCTATACTGAAAACAAAAATAGCTCGGGCTCAAGCAATCCTATTGCCTGAGATCACTGATTAAGGAAAACATCCAATGGAATAAGACGTCCATTGGTACTCTCCAAGAATGTATGTACCACTGTAACTCAAGCAACATGAAATATGCAACCAACAGCTCAACAAGCTTCAATCTCCAAGCGGAAAATGTCTACCATTCTACTACACACGAACACAATGGCTACTTACAGGACGACGATATGCTCTGATCGCACTTGCAGGCTTCTTTGGCACCGTCCTCGTCGTAGATGCACTGACGAAAGCAGTCCTCACCGTTATCCACATTGCATCCTGTCGAATAAGAGACGAAAGGAAAAGAAACTAGAATGAACAAAAGTGTGTTGAAAGCGGAACCTGCCGGAATGAAAAGTGGGTGTGTGATATCTTGGATGAAGACCTGACTGCTCTGTGCCTTGGTTCGCTTCCCAACGGAAGCGGAATGAATATTGTATCTTACATTTCCATTCACTCCTCCGTACACTAAGTGTATGCAGATGCAGATGAAGCAAATAGTTGCCAGTCCCGCTCTTGCTTGTTTTTTTTTTTTTTTTTTTTTTGTCTAGCAGTATGAGAATTTGTTTGAAAATGTTTGCAAGGTACCCCGGCAAGGTAGCGGTACCGTGTCTGATGTAAACGAGAGTGCTGTAGATTGTAATTTGATAATACAAATAGAGCAGCTTGTTTGGTAGCAATTTGTAAGTTGAACCGAAAGTTTGGCTGTTTTCTTGTCTGTTATTTTGTTTTGGAGTGTTGGAAAGACAAACTGGAACAGCGTGGTTTTTTTTTGCGGGACCATAGGGAAAGCTGGTGTAAAGCGAAATTACAAATTTTGTCTACCGGAAATTAACTGGTGCCAAGAGAGTATATTGGGTAGATTAAATCCCCTTCAAATCAGTCGCCAGATGAAGTTCTCAGAGTGAACGTATGACCCAAACTTGATTCGACCTGCGGGTAAAGGTTTCTTATGATTTTCAATCTGAGAGAAAATTGGGTCGTCCTACCCACCCTCTGGCCGTGAGGAGTTGGAAACACGGTATGAGCATGGGTTTATTGTAGTCCTTATGTCCTAATCGTAATATTTTATGTTTATTGTTGCTGTAGGATGTTTTTATGATAAACTTCCCTAGAGGTGGCAGTCCTACAAACGAACATGTAAATATAGGCTTATTTCCCCTGCATGTGGCTGGGTAGAGACCATTAAGGAACGAGACAAATATATGCGTGCGTTTGTGTACGCCCGAAAGCAAATGGACCGCACTGAAAGCGGAATGGGTCTGGTCGTCCAGCAGAAGGACAACGACGGCACGTGTGTCGAATTCAAGTGATTGTTATCGCTCGGCAGACGATGGGGAAGTATGTAAATGATTTGAAATCATCCATCCGTTTTGTGCAGATATTTATTTCAATAAGTATCGTGAATCAATTCAATCTAGGCAAAGAAAGTAACCCGACCAGAAAGGATTAAGGATTAACTATATTGCAAAACAATTATACCAACATCAGTAATTAATAACAAAAGTTGAAATCATGTTTCTGGGTCCCAAGGGGTATTCAACTCTGCACATCTCACATCTGTGCCAAGCGTGGTGCCGAACGTGCGGCAATGAAGGTGTCAGTTTCAATATCCCATGAGCTTGGCAACCCTGCAGTTATGACTTTTGAGATTCTTTGTTAACAATTTCAAGTTCTCACAGAAGACTCATTGAAAAACGGAAAACGGAGTTTTGAACATAAATTTCAATATTTATGGTACACTGGAACCTCCATTAACGAACCAAACTACTTAAACCACTTCGTCATAAGAAAACTCCTTATTTGGGATTTACTAAAAAGAGGTTTTTGAAAATAGTGTCAAATACCTCACAATATTGGTATTTTTGGAATCGGAGAGACGTTTATGAACTGGAAATCTATGTCTGACGCCATTTTGAAATCCAAGATGGCGGCATCCGATTACAAAAACCCTGGAAAATACTTTCAATACCCCACAATATGGGTATTTTTGGAATCAGTGTGACGTGTAGGAACTGGACATCTATTTCTGACGTCATTTTAAAATTCAAGATGGCGGCATCCGGTTCATGAAAAACTGGAAATTACTGCCAACTCCCCACAATATGGGTATTTTTGGAATCAGGGTTGTTGTATTTGGCAAGGAAGAATAAAGTACAGTTCTGTATTCTTTGGTGGTACTTAACGAACTAAACTTTATTGTCGAATAGATGATACACATTCATACATATAATACACAGTGTTACACTTTTCGAAGTTATGCCGACAAAAATGCGCCAACAATTGCCGAGCTCACTATCACTTAGTGATATTAGATCACTTTTAACGTCTGTTCGTTTAGGAAAACTCACAAAATTCAGGCATCACCGGCTGAAACCAACCACACGCCAGATTTCAATCCTTGCAATTGCCGTCCTATTGTATCTCGGGCTAATTGTTCGGCGGGTGCGACTGTGTGAGAATGAGATAAATCCATTTCTATGGACCTCTCCAGTGACGTCGTGTAGAAGGAAGGGATAATGATGTTGCATTGAAGATTTGGTTGCTTTTATTAAAAGTATATACGGTAACTTCGGCAATTGTTGGCGCATTTTTGTCGGCATAACTTCGAAAAGTGTAACAACAGTAGAGGCTGTATCATATACAACACCTCCCTTCTATAAGTTACTTTCTTTTCCTAATAAATTTAGAATTTCGCCTCAAATTTGCCGATCTGGTCCCCACAACATACGAACGTGGCTCATTCAACTTTCTAAGTATTTCTCCTCTAACCCACCTTTAAGTGTTTTGATCTTGTACCAGAACTTGTTCTCCTTCCGTGAAATCTTTCCTTGGCCGCGCATCTTTGTCGTAATCCTGTTTGTATTTTTACTGATTCTTCTCCAGCTGCACCCGCAACACACTATCCTTCCCACCTTCAAGCTGTTGATTCTGTACTGGTAGCTTCGATCGTAGACTCCTTCCCATCAAAATTTCTGCTGGCGATGCTGTCAGTGTTGCAGCTGGCGTATTGTTGTATTCCAAGAGTGCATAATAGAAATCAGTGTTCGCATCAGCACATTTTCGCATCATCCTTTTGACCGTTTGTACACATCGTTCACTGAACCCATTTGACTGTGCCTAGTTTGGGCTACTCGTAACTACTTTACAGTTCCACTTATCACAGAAATCTCTTACTTCTCGTGAATTGAAGGGATTATTATCGCACACAATTTTTTCAGGAATTCCATTAATGCTACTCGTCTGAACACATCACATACTGTCCGTGATGACTTCCCTCTTGCTTCTACAACGTGAATCCATTTTGAGAAATAATCGGCTATCAACAAGAAACTTTTTCCTCCAAAATCGAAAAAATCACTGCCCACTTTTTGAAAACTGCGTAGCGGAACATCGTGGGGAAGTAACGGTTCTTTCACATTTGAATTCTGAAACTTTTCGCAGACAGCACACTTCGAAACACATTGTTCAATATCCTGATTTATCCGTGGCCAGTAGAATATTGTTGCAGCACGCTTTTTGGTTTGGGTTATTCCTCCGTGAGTTTCATGCAGCAAATCTAGCATCTGAGACCTCAAACTATAAGGCACAAAAATCCTATCCTCATTGAATATGATTCCGTTGTCTTCGTAAAGCTGGTCTTTAAACCTCCAATAGTATCGTAGCTCCTCAGGTAGTTTGGACCGATCATTAGGCCAACCTTCCAAATATAGCTGCTTTAGCCTAGACAGAATTGGATCCTTGCTGGTTTCATTTTGAAATTCTGCGATCTTGTCCTCGGAAACGTTAATGGTATGAACGACGTAGTCCAAACTGGAGGATTCCGATTCTTCCGAGCTCACGAATGCTCTGGAAAGAAAATCTGCCAAATACATGTACTTTCCTGGGACATAACATAACTTAAGATTGTACCTGGGTAACTTCATTTTGATTCTTTGAAGTCTCGATGCATGAATTTTTGAAATTGGTTTCTGCATCAAAGCAACCAACGGTTTATGATCCGTCTGCACGTTAACATCTCGACCATAGATGTATTGATGATACTTCTTACATGCAAACAATATCGCCAGGAACTCTTTCTCCACCTGCCCATAGTTCTGCTCACTCGGTGATAAGCTTCTCGAACTGTATGCTACCGGTTTTCCTTCCTGTGTTAAACACGCACCCAATCCACATTTGGATGCATCAGCCTGGATAGTCACTTCCTTCTCAGCATCGAAAATTCTCAGAACTGGTACCTTGGCTATCAAATCTTTTATTCGGTTAACCGCTTCTGTATAGATAGGCAGCCACTGGAAAACTGTATCCTTCTTAAGTAATTCCCTCAATGGTGTCGTGACTTCAGACAAACGTGGGAGAAAATTTCGAAGGTAATTTATTGAGCCGAGAAAACGTTCAAGCACCTTCACATTCCTAGGTGTTTCCATCTCCGTAATTGCCTTTGTGCGTTCTGGATCGGGCTCCATTCCGTTCTTCGAAAAAATATGCCCCACGTATTTCACCTTCTGTACTCTCAGCATTAAATCTGGCGTTCACCTCAGCAGCCCTTCGTAACACTGCGTGAAGACGTCGATCATGCTCCTCGCGTATCCTCCCCGTGATCAAAATATCGTCGATATAAATAATCACTCCGTCGATATCACCGAAAAAATATTCATTCCACCTTCGGAACATTTCTGCTGAAACATTCAATCCAAACGGCAGCCTCAAGAATTTGAAAATTCCAAACGGGGTGCTGAACGAACAAATATCACTAGATGCTCAAGATGATAAAATCCGTCCTTGAGATCCAGCACAGTGTAAAACTCAGCACCACACAACGTCGACGCAAGATCCTCCAAAGTTGGAATTTGGTAGAAATCCCTTCTAAGAGCTGCATTCAATTCCGAGGGATCAAGGCACACTCTAATCGATCCATTCGGTTTCTCCACAATGGTCATGTGGTGGACCCACCCCGTCGGATTTTCCACTTTACGAATGATTCGTTCCTGCTGCATCTCCTGTAGTTTCAGCTTCAGCTTCAGCTTCTCTTTCAGTGCTAATGCTATTCGCCGAGGTGGGTGCTGAACCGGAACTGCATTGGGTTTAACTGATAGGTGACATTGGCGAGTAAATTTTCCAACTCCTTCAAATACGTTTCCATACTTCAGAACAAGATCATTGGTGGTTTCACATTCTATCGTGTCAATGCTTGGTGTGCATCGTTTTATTAATCCAAGCTGCACACTTGTTGTGAGGCCCAGAATCGGCTGTTTACTTATGTACATCTGTTATCCAGA